CAAAGTGTTTTTCTGTTTTGTTCTTCTTCGTCTTCTTTTTTCAGTCGAGTACAAGCTGCCAGACATTAACTTAACTTGTGACAGCGTCTCTCAGTCAAAGTTGGGCTGCAGGTACATCACTGATTGTTTTGTGGCACAGCAAGTATTTCTAACACGTCAATTTATCATTCAATCATTACACATCCTACAAGAAGTGTAACTGTAGATAAATTCAGGGTGAGGGTTGACACATCACTCCGCTCCTACGACTGATTTTGAAATTATTAATGAAAATGTATTCAGAAATATACCTTTATAACTTCCAAACATACCTGTACATCTAATACTCTTTCAAGTGATAGTTTAGTATCCTGAAATTACGTCAAATAATACAACAATGAGTCAATGCACTGAAAGCTACACTTTATTATCATTAGAGTTTAAGTTGTTGCTTTAGCCTCTCAATACTATGACCAAGCTCAGAATAACGAATAAACACTGACAACAAATGTTTAACACACACCAGATAAACAAATAAATGTTATTCATCAATCGTAGGGTCCGTATTGGTAAAAACCGTTCCCGAGGGCGGTACACAAGACAGAGAGCACGGTTTTTTCCAAATACAGACCGATCTAGGCTGGTGAATAACAATTTTTTTTTTCTGAAACTTAACAAAATGCTTTCAAAAAGAACCCGAAATATGTTGAACATTTCTTTGGTAGTTTGTGTTTCATGATAGTTTTCTTTGTTTTGAAGTGAGTTTTTCTTTTCGGAATGATAGAATTCGCTATCCTTGATAACCTTCGTCGTCTGAATCCATAACTGAGTCACTTGTTACCATATCTACATCTTTAAGCCTCTCTCGTAAATTGATTGCGAGGTGCAAAATGCACCTGGGTCCGAATGGGAAAATAAGGACCGCTGGAAGGCGCGGAATTAGCATATCAGATTCGAGGATTTAGGATTCCGGACCGCTGAGATGCTTAATGAAAAAAATAAAATACACAAATGCAAACTGCAGCTATCACCGTTTTTCAGCTTGTTAAAGTAAATCTTTTGGAACACAGCACGGGCAGGAATGCACCAATTGACATGCTTCACAACAACGAATGCTTTTAAATTCATAAACGTTTTAAATTCAGCTAAGAGACTGCAAGCGAGGAAACATTCTTATGATCACATCTGAGATATAACAAAGAAGATCAGGGAAGTTCAGCTGAATAAGTTCATACTAGTACAGTAGTGTTCACAAAATGCAAGTAACATGAAGTTGGTTTCCTGAAATATACCATTTGACCTACCTTTTTATGCTAGATAGTGAGAGTAAATATGGTCAATTAACCAACGAGTAATTTCTATAACAAAATTAAACTTCTTCTAAAGAGCAACCACACATACCCTGGCATCAGCTTCGAACTTTCTACGCAGGCTCTCTTCAAACAGCTTCATCATAGTGTCAAACTAGAAAAATAATTAAAAAGTATTCATGAGTTCACTAAAAAGTCTCACTCAAGAAGCTAGATTAGTGTAGCATTAAAATGGCAGTTTCTAAAGAGAGAGGGAGAGGATTTGAGCACTTACTACTTCAGCTAGAAAGTAGTGATTCTCAAAATAAAAACAGAACGAGACAGAGATAATTGAAGGTCGACCATTTTCCTCTAAGGGCTACAATCTATATGAAATCTGCCCCGGCTTCAGCCAACTCTATTCTATAAGGTTTGTAGCCAAACATCTCTAAGAGCTGTATTTTAAAAAAAGCCACCCGCAAGTCTGCATTTACGCTGCTGAGTGGAAAAAGGTACTCCTTACGAAACAAAACGAGCGAGAACCCTCAGCCAAGGCTTCTCTTCAGTTAATCGAATCGAAACCAGTTAATAAAACCCCACTCAGTTGAGCAACCGAAACCTTGACAAAACTCCACTCACGAAGACAAGAGAGGACTTTCGCCTCATACAACAGTCCACCAACTAGTACACTGCGTGTATAAATACTACTGCGTGGGTAGAAGCGCCGCATATGAAACA